AGCATATAGGATGTGTCAATATAGGTTATATAAGCTCTGAAATGTGTCCAATCTTTTATGAGGTGTGCAAGTGTTCATAATTTTTTATAATGATAACTTTTTATTTTTATTATTTTGTGTTAATTATTATCAGTTTGTTACTTATAAGTTTCCATCTTAAAACCTTTTATATGTGGCAATCAATTTTTTGAAAATATGTGGAAATCATAAACCAAAGTGATATAAGCTCCAACCTTTGTTTAAACAAAATGATACAAGCTCTGCTCTTTATTTATTCTTTCAGAAGTTGTGCAAATGTTCATTAACTCTGTAATTTGTCTAATCTTATATGAGTTATGAAAGTGTTCATAATTTTCTATGATGGTATCTTCATAATTCTATTAATTTGTGTTAATTATTATCATTTGTTACTTTAAATTGTGTACATTAAAACGTCGAAGATGTTGCAATATATGTGATACAAACTATGCACCTTGTTTAGTTATAAGTTGTGCAAGTGTTAATTATTTTATATGAAATATAAGGATGCATGAGAACAAACTTTACAAAAAGGTGACCGTCGGTGACTGTCGGTTTGATCTCTGAAACTTAGGTCGAAAGGTAAGAAGACGATTTAACGGGGTGAGAATGTGTGTAAATCTTAAAAAAATTCTGCAAGTTTAGTAATACATAAATCATTCTATAACTGGGCATTATATTTTGAAGAGCCCAAACTCATTTTGTCAAAAAACTCAACAAATCAGATTGTGACAAACCGAGATGGAAAAAATTAATTTTGTACTGTTTGATTTCAATTAGTAATTGCTGACATGTCTTTTTTTGCCCCATGTTCTAATGCTGATGTGGAGGCTTGAGAAGTGAGAAAACTCAACTTTATTGTATAAGATATAGAGATAACTAGAATGTATTCCCTATGTTTCAAAGAGATGCATATTTAAAAAAAAACTTGGCTTTAAAAATATATAGTTTTTAGATTTTCAATGTATTTTTTATTAACTAATAATGAAAAATTGTAAATTTCAAAAATATTAATTGTATTTCTTAAAATTTTATTGGTTTTAAATGTAGAAAATATAAAATTACAAAAATATGCATTAATATCTTTTTAATATTTTTTAAATTAGTGTGAAAAACTTAAAATATGTATTATTTTGAAACAGAGAGAGTAATATAAAAGCTAAGAATATGGAGATATCAATCAAATCATGTTTGGATTGTATTGTAGGATAAGGTACATAATTATATACTTGTTTGAGTTTACGAAAATTATTCCAAAAAAAAGTTTGCAAAAAAAAAAGAAAAACTAATCAATAATGGCATCATTGATGATACACACATGGGAAACGTCGGTTCAGTGTAAATTAAGCATACTAATAGTTACAAAATTAGAATAAAAACAACGAACAATAATGAGATATAATTGATGGAATAGGGATTAATTAGTTTGAATCGAAAATAAAACAAAGCAGGTTTCTTTATTATTGTGTGGACAGCGTCGCGACATCTTCCCATGTGATTTTGTCTCAACTCTCCTTTACGTATCAACTTCATTTCCTATCGATATTTACTATATCTATTAGCCCATGAACGCTAGGGATCCATATGCAGTGAATATCTTGGAGTTTTGTGATATTTGCAAATTGTTTCGTTTTCTTGGATTAACAGTTTTCATATAACGTTACCCATTAATTGGGTTGCAAAATAAAAGGAAAAATCCTCAGTAAAGTTGAAAAAAGTTGAGAAACTCAAGATATAGTAGAGTAAAAGCATTATTGGGTGCCACTAGGCTTTGCCATGGGATAAACGTCTAGTGCTAAAAACATAGGCCTAAAACAGGGAAAGATCTTGTCAGTGATCTTATCAAGTGTATGCGTGGTTCATCTCTTTGTCTCCTTTGTCGGTAAAACTTCGAAAAGTTCAATGAACCTATCAATCACTATTGTTTAGACATTGATCTTAGTAATAGCAACTGTCAGAGGGCAGAACGTTGTAACACATGGATGAACATTTGGATTACAGTTTGGTGTCTAGTGTATACCATATTTGTTTACACACCACTTTTATTAATGTATGTATTAATTTAGTATTAGTTCAAAAAGAATTTCAGAATATCATATATTTTTTTTTGAAATGTGCTTAAGCATAGCGAATTAGGTGAGGATGGAGGTGGTTTGGATGGAGATTTCATCACGTAGCTGTACGATGCATGTATTGAAATGAGGTTTAAAGCATAACTCCTTATTCATCAATCACTACATGGATGTTAGATAGAGAGGTTGCTTCGAATTCGAGTCGTTTCAAATCCCAATTACTTAACTTCCCAAAATACGCATATACCACTAGATCATTCTAATGCGGTTCATGTAACTTTCACAGCGAAAATAAACAATTTCCTATAGATTCAGTATTGTTACTGTATGTCAATTTCGTTTCACCGTGTTTTCTTTAGTTTGATTTTGAACCTTTTGATCATAGCATCACTATTTTGTTTATGAATTTTTGGATTTTAGGATTTCGGTTTAGTCTAGCTAGAAACCAAAAAGAATAAGATCCTGAATCAAGGAGCGTAGAATACGTATCCGATCACGAGGTGTTGAGAGATTTAAGTGATGCAGTATTCCATTCACTTGAATCAGGTTCTGTTGTAGTGTGTGTACACTTTTGTTGGGTTATCTTTTATTGAAGTATGTTCGGATACTTCGTTTGCTATTTTTTATTTGAGGTTGTCTTTTTTCTTGTACTCTTTTGCTGTATTTTTGTAACACCCTCTTAGTGTGTTTCTCTTACGTTAGATCCAGATTTGTAAGTTCAACGTATCTATAAGACTTTGTTTTTCTTCTTAGCTCATTATTTTGTGCAGTGGCGCAAAGCTTCGCAATCAAATGAATAGGGAAGCACACAATTTGGAATTATATTTCTGTTCCATAAGTCATAGCAAAAAACAAGTATTTATTTCCGTTCGGTTTGTAGTTGTTTGTAATATTGGATATGAATCTTAATTTATGATTTTATTGCAGCCGTAGTAGTCGTATATGTCACTACAACCCTGATACGAGACCATAGACGGACCCATCTCCAGAGTTTCCTTTGAGTAAAACAGCTCTGACTTGGCTTATGGAAACGGACGTCACACGAGACTTTCAGGATTCCTTCCATAGGCTTGAACAGCTTTGGTTCGACTAATGATGGATTTGATTTACTAGCTCAGTTGTATGTACACATCGAAAAACATGCTTGTGCTTAGTTTCAATGTGCAGTGCATTGTGTACACAAACTGGTAACTGGCTGGGTTGATGATTGGTCTCTAGGGGTTTAGTGTAGTTCTTTTTTCTTACTTTTGGTATTTAGTATTTACATGTATGGTTGTTTTCTTTCTGAGTTTGGTCTGCAAAATTTTATTAAACTACGACGTGTGTTAATTAAAAAAGCAATGAAATTGTAATCTCAGTTATTATACATTGTTGTATATGCCATGTTTTCTATGCTCTGCTGTATTACAACCAATCTTTTTTCTTGCTCAAGATGTTGCAATTTTGATTACTTCCGGTAAAGTTTCTCCAACGTCAGCCAGTCATAGGAAATTCACAATTTCAGTCGCTAAATAAAAATATACATATATAAATCCTTGGTTTTTTGGACTTTGTTTATGTGAATTCAAGTAGATAAAATAAGTATGAGCATTTTGACTAAAAAAATAAAAATGAAATAAGTATGAGCTCAAAATTAAAAGGGAAATTGCCAGAAATAACATTTTCAAGATACCACTTTTCAATTTTACACTAACCAACTTTACCACTAAAATTTTAATACTCAAAATACTATTAGAATTTAGGGTTTTGGGTTTTGGGTTTAGGATTGATAGTTTAGGGTTTAGTGTTGATTTCTTAGGGTTTAGGGTTTACTTTTTAGGGTTTAAAGTTTAGGTTTAAGGTTTAAAATTGATATATAAGGGTTTAGGGTTTACTTTTTAGGGTCTAGAGTTTAGAATTGATGTTTTAGAGTTTAGGGTTAAGGGTTAATATTTTATTTAATTTTTATTTTATGTATATATATAAAGAATAATGATATAAGAGTCTTTTATACTTTAATAAAATGTGTATTTTTGAAAATGTTCATTTGTTGATGGTAAATATGAAAAGTGGTACCACCAAAGTGGTATAATTGAAATTCTCCCAAATTAAATGCAGACATAAAATTTTAAAACGGGTTGGATTCAGTCACTTAGTTTACTTGTGTTTATTTATATTATTATGAATTATGTCTGGATATATACTATAATATTACCATTCACAATTTGTATTATCAATTAATTAAACAAATAAATATAGTTTAAAATAGGGATTTATGATGTCTAAATTAAATATCAACATCAAAAGTCTTATAGTTTGCTTAATATCTGATAGAGTGATATTAATCCTAATATTTAATTTAATATTGACTAATTTAATAAACATAATAACAATATTTATTAAAAATAAATAAATAAAATAAATAGGCCCACATAAAATGCGGGCGAGACATCTAGTTTGCTCAATATAAGATAGTCAATTTACTTATAATAAAAAATTATTTTTTGTGATCATTAGTTAAGGGTCTTAAATTGAGACTAGGTGAAAACACTTGGGGGCTAACATGAATAAAGCCATACATTTAAACTAGGTGCGGTGACAAAAAAAACTAGGTGCGGTGACATGGCAACCAGACATGCATAACGCAATACACCCGCGCAACACCTGGGCAGAACCCATATGTGTGCAAATGTCTTACTGAAACACAAATCTTGAGTGAGAGACCACTGAGAATCTCAGATAATTGTTTCTTGCCAAAATTAGTCATTACTCGTTCTGAGCATTTAGTACGCGCGGGCGGAAGCCTTCATGGACGCGGTGGGAGTTTGATAAGATCCGGCGGCTTTAATGGAAGCGTTGAACGGTTTTTTCTTGGGTTCAAGTTCTCGCCTTCTGACGTGGAGCTGATTTCGTTTTACTTGGAAGCGGAAGATGGATGGCTTGAAGAGATCCGTGGAGGTTATACCGGATATCTATTGTTTCGAGCCTTGGGATTTTCCCGGTTTGTCTTCGATCTGATTCTTTACTGTCTTTCTTCAAGTTTGAGTTTTCCTTTTTTTGCTGTGTGTCTGATCACCCCTTAGTGAACAACAGTAACATGTTTTCGTGGAGTGTGATAAGCTATGTAGCACCTGGAGTTGAGAGATAGAAACATTTGCCTATAACTCCCAAAATATTAGTGGTTAATATGTATATGCCCAAATCATTAAGAAAAATATATACTAATTTGTTTCAAGTCCCTATGAATTTTCTGCCTAGAAATGCCGGGACGTTTGGAATAACTAGATGGCTTGTTTCCTATGATATTTACTATTTTTATAATTTTTAGATGGTAAAAATGAATACTACAATTTCTAAATAAAATGATATTATATTTGAGTAGTCTTTTATGTTAGATTTATGGTATATTTTTATGTTTATATATTCTATAAATTTTTGGTTTTGCAGTTTTTCATTTCCCTGTTTCTGTACATGCATCGTTGCAACAGATGATGTTTTTTTTTCTTGTGAACTGACGAATATTTTTGTTTCTTTTTCTGTTATTACCCCAGATAAGTCAATTGTTAAATCTGAAACCGAATGGTTCTTCTTCTGTGCCCGTGGCAAAAAGTATCCAAATGGTTCACAGAACAACCAAGGTGGGATACTGGAAAAGAACGTGATGTGAAGTCTTCTTTTGAAGTCATCGGAACAAAGAGGACGCTTGTCTTCCATATTGGTCGTGCACCAAAAGGCCAAAGAACAGAGTGGCTTACTATGCACGAATACTGCATGAAAGGAGGAGTATTTATGGTAAACTATTCTAAGGTACACTTCTTTTTTGCTGTTAACCATTACATCAGAGGTAACTTTGGCTACTTAATTGTGTTGATTAATTATCTTCTAGGATGATGCTTGGTTGTTTTCCGGCTTAGGAGGAACAGAGAGTCTCGTACTTGTATAAGTCAGAAGGCACCACCAGAGCCAGTTTTAGCAGCCGAGAAGCACATGATCTTGCAACATGGTGCCGCTCGCCCGTTTGATTGGGACAGCATGGTTGATTTTTTACCTTACAGGTGAATCATGGGAGAAGCATCTCACTGAGATGGCAGAAACAGCAGAAAATCTACAGGTTTGCCCTTTTTGCTTTGCTCCACTTTTTTTTTTCATGAATATGGATCTACCCATTAGGCATGAAAGCAAAGAGCAAGAACTCAGAACACGTTGAAGAAGATGAACATTTTCTTGTATTATTTCTCCTTGTCTTTCTCGATTACATGGAGCTGCTTTTATAGTCGAGATTACATTGTAAAACCCTAATACACATGTCACTTATCAATCATCATTTAGTGATCCAAGGGCTGAGAAGCTGTTTGTTGTCTCTATCTTGTACCTTGTACTCTCTGCAGCTTTTCCTTTAATGTTATTATCTTTGTCTTCAAGCAATTGTGACCGTTGTTGTTTTGCTGAGTTAACCTCTGTGTTGGTGACTGTCTTGGGCCTCCATTCGACTTGGGCTTGACCAATATTGAGTCCTTTGTCTTTGACCTGTGTCGGGATAGAGTTTTGGCTTTCTCTATTAATAAGGCACTCAATACAAGTTGTATCTAGCTGAAAATATATTAGTAACGTTCCACCTAGCGCATGTATAGAAAGTGGTAATCAGAGGTTTTCTTGATAACAATTGTGTGCTTTGCATGTAATTTAGGTGCAAACTGAACAGTGCCAAAGGGATGAAATCATCAATCTTGACGAAGTGATGATGATAGGGAAGACACCAAACGAAGTGCCAACACTAGAATCAGCATCAATGGCGATAAGGATACTTCCTTTACCAAACATGATAGACAGACAGATGGCTTCATTTTTAGAGGAAAGACCATCACAGGAGAAGAAAGGTAAAGGGAACAGTGGCACGGAACCATTGTCGAGCTGCTTCATGGGTGTATACTCGATCAAATCGGTGAACTGAATAAGGTGGGACGTTATACAGTTAAACCTCTATAAATTAATAATGTCGGGACTTTGAAATTTTATTAATTTATAGAGATATTAATTTACCAAAGTTTCCTTATTTAGATCTTTTTATTTTAAGATATACATTACTAGGTGTATTGAACCAAACCGGTCGGTTTAATGAACCAAACCGGTGTTATGAATCTGAAATCGTATCTATGTTGAAGGTTGAGATATTCAAGTGTTATGAATTTTTCGAATTAGGATTTAGGGTACTTGTAATAATCCTTGGTTATGGTTAGTTTTAGTATTACTGGAGTATTATTTAACATACACACACATGACTATATACATAAATTATATAGTGTGTTCCTCTATATAATCAAGCTTTGGTTTGTTGTAGCCCTGCGAGTTCGGATAGTTCAGTTTATTCGGTTCGGGTATTTTTGGTTTTGGTTTATTCGGTTCAGCTACAATTTTACCGAAGTGAACCGGAAAAAAAAATCGGTGTGGTTCGGTTTTCGATTATTTTTTATTTTAACTTTAATTTTCGAATTAACCGATTTTTTTTGTTCCGGATAGATTTTGGTATAATTTTCTAAAACAATCGAATAATTTTGGTTAAATTTGGTTAATTTCGGTTAAATTCGGTTATTTTGGATATTTCGATTTGGAATTTTGGGTATTTTTGATTTTCATAAATTTCAAAAAAAAATCAAAAAACTGAACCGAACCGAAAACTAAATTAATTTTAAAACCTTTTCGAACCAAACCGAATTCAAGATCAAAACCGAACCAAAATCAAAAATTTTGGTTTGGTTCGGTTCGGCTTGATCGGTTCGGTTAAAACTCGCAGGGCTAGTTTGTTGTGTGCTTTGACTTTGAATGAGGGTAACAAAAGTCTAAGATGACTAAGGCAATCTTATGTCATATGAATCTTCTATTCCTTATGCAATTTTGTTTTAAATGTTTCATGATTTCATCAGTCAGAGCCTAAATCTGATCGACCATTTCTAAGTCAAACAAAACCAAATCACAAGGAATATTAATTTCCTTTTTTTGGAAATCAAATTAATTTCCTTTTTGGAAATCTTATTAATTTCCTTTTTTGGAAATCATATTAATTTCCAGTTTTTCACTCATTTAATATTCTTTACATTTTATTCACTTTTTTAAAGTCGAATAATTTTAACAACTAAAAGTCATTCATCTCGTCATCTTTCTGGTCAATGTTTACATCATTGTTGGCCGTGCGTCTAGATGTCCAAATTCATATTCGCAATCAATTTCAACAAGATTTTCGATGCTATTCTGAAAAGTTTTCTTGAAAATTCATCATATAAAATTTTATTTATTTCTAAGAAATCTTTATTACTTAGAATGTTATAAAATTTTATGAAAACATTTTTTCTCTTCAGTTCTCATGTCATGACAGTATCTAATAATTCCATCTCTACCCATTTTAGCTATATTTTTTTTTCTTAGCTATATTTTTTTGTCAACACCAATTTGATTACCTTACGAGTTGGAAATAAATGGTCGACTTCTCTATCTCCTCTCAGCTGAATTTGATGTTCACTAAGACCAAAGTATCGCGTTGATGACAAAAAAAAAGAAAAAGAAAAAGAAAAAAGAACAAAGTATCCCGTTTGTATTTATCTGAATACTATTTGGTAATAAATGCAATTTCAAAGCTCAATTCATACACTCAATCTTTTGCATATTATTTTTAGATCACATTTATTGCTAACAGCATCTCATTATAATTATCTTTCTCAAGAGTATTTATTTTGAAAGCTAGATAAAACCAATTAATTTAATGTGCATTGAATGAAACCTTCTCTACTCTTGTGTATGTATCTGTCTATAAATAACAGCAGCCGATAACATGAAGACGTCGAACTTTCTTCTTTAACTCACAAGAACAAGAACAAGAACAATACTCTTCACAAAGGTAAGCTAACTTTAAACCAGTATCCTAGTTTCTCGGTTGAAGTATTGTTATTTCAATCTTCACTTTCGATTCATAAGTCATTTTTACTGTGTTTTCTTATTTTATATCAATCTCTATCGAAAATTTTCGAAGGCAAAACCTTAGTTTTGATTTTATTATGTTTCTTATTCAGATTCATACACAGTAAAATCTATCAACACACATACTTCTTGGAAGGCAAGAAACATGAATCAACAAGAAGCCGCGAGTACTCTTGAGCTTGATCTGAAACTAAACATCTTGGATTCATCTTTGCCAACTGAGAGCCCATCTTCATCGTTATGTTCGGAGGAAGCCGAAGGTGGAAGAGTAGAGGGTAAATCAATGGTGGTCGTAGGTTGCCCTAATTGCATCATGTACATTATCATGTCTTTGGATAGTAACCCTAGATGCCCTAGATGCAACAGTCAAGTTTTGTTTGATTTTCTCACAGGAAAGCATAGCAAAAAGAGTATTAATTAAGAAAATATCCCAATTAAAAGTGTTATTTTATTTTATTATTGATTTGTGGCCACATATATTGATAGTTAAACTAGTCTACGATGAACGGATGTATTCATATAACCGAAATTCTGTATACTTTTGTTTTTCAAGAACATCGTTAATTATTTTTATTTGTATTACAGTTATATTTTATTAATTATTTGGAACAGGCGATTACAAAAAAAAAACTAATAAGATTACAAAGAATTGTTTTCAGTGGTGGATTATGGATGTTAGTGACGGGTGTATTATCTTCAAAACAATGATAATATTCCGATTTGGGTACTAGATATTTCTTGATCATTGCAATATTTAATTTTTATAAAATAGAAATTTAGTTGACTTGTTGCAAGTTCAATGTACATGTACGTGACATAACTACGTGTTTAACATGAAAATTGTGGAAACAAAAGACATTTTCTTTTCCTTTATGACAAGTATATGCACATATATATACACATCATACATCAAACAATAAATAGGTTTGGTTTACTTGTTACCAAAGTTGTTGAACTAACAAATTAAATGTCTAAAACCCCACGAAAGAAGAGTTCTTCTTATTATAAACTAGTGGTGTACCGGTGCTACGCGCCGGATTCATATATGTTATTATAAAAGAAGTTGCGATTTATTTTGTGACCTTGGTGAAGAGATTATGTTCAGAAATTTGATGTTGTAACTATGTTGAAGATAATGATATTTTCTAATTATTAGTGGAGTAGCATAAGTGGTTGTTAATAATCGAAACAAATAAAAGTAGAGTAAAAATTTGATAGACTTTACAAAGTTAATTTAGTAAATACTTAAACATAAAGTAAAGTTCATGTTTCTAAATGAAAAATGTAAATAGTTGTGTTTGTTTTGTGATTATGTTGTTTCAAGGAAGATAATATATAGTTCCGTCCTCTTAAAATAGTAACAATCCTAGACTGATCGTTTATATCTTATACATAAAATAGTAACAATCCTAGACTGATCGTTTATATCTTAAACGCCACCATTCTCGTGATCGTTAAAATCAAGTCCTGTGAGCATATATAGATAATCAGAGATACAAAAGGCGAACTTAAACGTTAATGCTTCAAACATAGCTTCCATATGCTCAATGTCCTCAGCCATTGGTCCACTGTCAGGTGCGGTGTTTTCAGAGAACATTCTTGTCCCGAACATAAGTTTCTTGATAGCATTGCCACAGTAGTGTATCAAAGAAATCTGATCGGATATCCAAAGTACTTGAACCTCTTAATCTTATTCCAGCAGCGATCGGATTTTGATAGTGTGTGTTCCTAGTCAAGGATATCAAAGAAATATTTTCCTTCTTTGAGGTTTCCTCTGCACAACATTACTTAACCCCAAAGATACATACCCTTATCGTATTTTCCATAAGCAGATTGGCACATGTGAGGTGATTGAGTGCTTTGATTGATTTGTGGTGGAAGAAGTACTGATTTATTCCCTCACTATTAAGATGAGCTTCAGCTGATAGGTGTCCGATATGGGGGGGGAGGGGGGGCTGGTGTGCGTGGTAGATATTTATCTTGTAGTCAAGGCTGCCGTGGTTCAGATACTGGAGGTACAAAGATTAAAGAGTAGGAATAAATACATAAACTTTTTTACAAAGAGTAGGTTGTCAAATTCATAAAGAATTAGTTTACGTCTCCTTTGGACCAAATTTTTTTTCTTTTTATGACTTCTTTTGGTTACATATGATGATGATGCAGTGGAGTGTTCAGAAACACTAAGATTTTTGGGAGATCTCCTGTGGTTGCTTTGCCATTAAATTCAACTGGCGTCTTCACCATTATTTCTGAAAATCGTAATGGTTGAATAATTAGGAATCAAGAGGTTGCATCAGAACTGTGTAGTGAAAGAATGTAGGAGATACATAACTACTGGCTTTTGCAATTACACTGCATTTACAGTGTGAGCTAATCATTCAGTTGGGAGCGTGTAGGCACCCTGCAACGATAAACTTTAATTTGTAAGGTTATAGCTTCTTAAATCCAATTTTTTTTTTGTTAATTTTTAGCAGTTTGTTATTTATAAACTTGTCTTCTAAGCGTACAGGATGTGTCAATATAGGTTATATAAGCTCTGAAATGTGTCTAATTTTTTATGAGATGTGCAAGTGTTCATAATTTTCTGTAATGGTAACTTCTTAATTTTATTATTTTGTGTTAATTAATTATTATCAGTTTGTTACTTATAAATTTCTCATCTAAATCCTTCTATATGTGGCAATCATTTTTTTGAACAGATTCTTATATATGTGGCAATCATAAACCAAAGTGATATAAGCTCCGACCTTTGTTTAAACAAAGTGATATAAGCTCTGCTCTTTGTTTATTTTTTAGAAGTTGTGCAAGTGTTCATTAGCTCTGTAGTTTGTGTAATCTTATATGAGTTATGAAAGTGTTCATAATTTTCTATGATGGTATCTTCATAATTCTATTAATTTGTGTTAATTATTATCATTTGTTACTTTAAATTGTGTACATTAATACATCGAAGATGTTGAAATATATGTAATACAAGCTATGCACCTTGTCTAGTTATAAGTTGTGCAAGTGTTAATTATTTTATATGAAATATAAGGATGCATGAGAACAAACTTTACAAAAAAGTAAAAAAAAAAACTTTACAAAAAGATGACCGTCGGTTTGATCTCTGAAACCTAAGGTAAGAAGACAACTTAACGGACTGAAAATGTGTGTAAATCTTAAAACATTTCTGCAAGTTGGGTAATACATAAATCATTTTATAACTGGCCATTATATTTTGAAGAGCCCAAATCCATTTTGTCAAAAACTCAAAATATCAGAATGTGACAAACCGAGATGAGAATTAATTTTATCCGGTTTGATTTCAATTAGTAAATGCTGACATGGCTTTTTTTGCCCCCCTCACAAATGCTGATGTGGATGCATAAGAAGGGAGAAAACTCAACTTTATTGTATAAGATTTGAAAAAACTTCACCCAAACTTACTATAAAAATGCATGTTGGTTTTCACATTAATGTCGGATTCAGCATTACGTGTGTTTCGCTCCTTTGCCAACTATCAAAACAAACAAGTATGTCTAAGTTTATATTTTTATACTATTTTTGTTTCATAAAAAGTATCACGTGAAGGGTTTTTTACATATAATAATTTTATTTTTTTGTCTTTATTTTTACATTAACATTTAGATTTTTCTAATTAATAGAATAATACTAGGACTGTCGGATCCGGGAATTTTGGAGTATTCGGATCCGGATTCGTCGGATCCGTGATTTTAGTATCCGGATTCGGATTTGGACCATTCGGGTATCCGGATCTTGGATATCTGTCTAGAAGTTGTAATATCTGCGGATATCCGGATTTGGATTCGAATTCGTAAAAATAATAAAAAATAAATAAAAATTAAATAAAAATACATAAAATTTAAAAATAATAAACAAACTAAATATTTATACCAAATTTATGAATATATATAACATAAAATATTATTAAAATTAAAATATAATATTATAAGATTAATTATATGTATAAATATTAATATAATTATTAATAAAATCTAAAATTTATTATAATTTAAAAACACGGATCCGGATCCGGCCCTAAAAATTAAGATATCCGCATTCGGATCCGGTTTGGACGGATCCATGATTTTAGTATCCAGATTCGAATCCGGACACTCCGGATATCCAATTTTCAAAGCGGATCCGAATTCTGGATAATAAGTCCCAACCCTAAATAATACAATATTATTTAAAATTTTGCATTGAAAACACAAGACAACACTATTTTAAAAACAAAAATAAAATTCTAAAACGACATATTTTGAAAAACCTATATATTATACATTTATACCCCACCATTGTTGAAGATGAGTTTCACTCCTGGCAAATCCTTAGAGCATCCACATTGGTGAACCCCTCCCATGGGGTTCGCCAAAAAAAAAAATTGATTTTTTAATTTTCTTTTTTTTTTGTTTAAAAAAAAAAATTTCGGACAAATGGGGTGCCGCCACGTGGCGAACCCTATGTGAACCAGATTCACTGCCATGAACTTTTCAGAGAGAGGTTCACCAAAATAATATTATTCTAATTTTTTTTTTCTTGGGAAAGGGGTGAACCCCTCCTATGAGCCTCTAATGGAGATGCTCTTAGGATCCGTTAGAAACTCGATGTGTCAAATTAGGTCCAGAAACAATGGTTCGGTGATTCAGATGAAAAGCAGAGACCATAAAAACGTTACGATCTTAGAGAAATGCCTACCTATAAAAGAAAAGAATAACACAAGACTAAGAATAACTCCTTTAGACAGTCTAGAGAGTTAACAATACAATACTCAAAACATATAAACCAATTACAATCTTCTATTTATCTATACTATTATTTAAGAAGTAAATTTGCTTAATTGTCAATTTCTCCTTGATTTTAGGTAAATTTGTTTATTTAGCTTATTTAAATAATTTCATATATAATTTATTATTTAATAAAAACGAATTTAATAATAATATTATATTTTAGAAAATATGTTAATTATTTGTATTAAATTGTTATTTTAAAAAATATATTTTTCAATTATAAATTTCAAGTGAATTACTGATTGATTTGTAATTTCTATATGATTTTTGTAATTTTGCTTATTTGTTATTACTGATTGATTTGTAATTTCTATATGATTTTTGTAATTTTGCTTATTTGTTATTTTTAATAATTTTATGAATAATTTATCATACAGTAAAACAAATTTCTATTAATAATATTATACTTTTAGAAAATAAGATAATTCTTATGTATTATAAGAAGTAAATTTGTTTATTTAGCTTATTTAAATAATTACTTATACAATTTATTATTTAATAAAAACGAATTTAATAATAATATTATATTTTTGAAAATATGTTAATTATTTTTTATTAAATTGTTATCTTAAAAAATATATTTTTCTATTATAAATTTCAAGTGAATTTACTGATTGATTTGTAACTTCTACATGATTTTTTTTAATTTTGCTAATTTTTTTTTAATAATTTTATGAATAATTTATCATATATTAAAACAAATTTCTATTAATAATATTATACTTTTAGAAAATAAAATAATTATTATGTATTATAA